TTTATTTTTTTTATTTTTTTGGTTTTTTGAGACAGGGTTTCTCTGTGGTTTTGGAGCCTGTCCTGGAACTAGCTCTTGTAGACCAGGCTGGTCTCGAACTCACAGAGATCCGCCTGCCTCTGCCTCCCCAGTTCTGGGATTAAAGGCGTGCGCCACCACCACCCGGCTATTTATTTTTTTTTAAAGATTTATTTATTTATTATGTATACAACATTCCTTCCATGTATGCTACGTGTCAGAAGAGGGCACCAGATCTTATTATAAATGGCTGTGAGCCACCGTGTGGTTGCTGGGAATTGAACTCAGGATCTCTGGAAGAGCAGTCAGTGCTCTTAACCTCTGAGCCATCTCTCCAGCCCCCTGTTTTAGGATTATGATTAGATCATCACCATTCAACCTAAAGAAAAAATCCAAGAGAGTGCATCCAATAAACCTGTTCAGAGGTCTGGAATGGTCTATTAACAAGGGCATATCATATCTCCTTTGTAGGGTAAAAGGGCCAGCCAAAGAAACCAACCAATCCCTGAGCACGAAATCTAGCACCCTGACCATGAACCCAGAACCAGTGAAAGAAGCAACCTGGGTCTGAAACTGGAGCCAGTGAAAGAAACACTTTAGCCCTGAACCTAGAGCTGCAGAAACATATTTTGGCACTGGAGCCAAAAAAAAAAAAAAAAAAAAAAAAAAAAAAAGACCACTGAAAGAAACATAGTTTAGCCTTGGAAACAGGGCCAACTCTGCCCTTGCCTTGACCAACTAAACCAACCAGTCCCTGAGCCCAAAATTTTACCCCTAAGAAGGCCTATATATGCCCTTCTGCTAGCTCAGTTGCTGGCTGTCCACCACCCTGGCAGTGGCAATTGCTTTCCTAGACTCCTCCTCCTTAAAAGAATTTTGGGTGAAGATTTTTTTCTCTGGCAGGGAAAAAAAGAACCTTGGGGGTGAACAGAAAAAAAAAAAAAAAAAAAAAACCAAAGAACCTTTGCTGAGATGTCCCCTTAGGAGGGCTTAGCATAAAAAAAACAACCCTTGCTTAGACATTCCCTTAGGGGAGCTGAGCAGAAAAAAATATAACAACTTTTCTCTGGAGCCAGAGGAGATGGCTACATTTTTTGCAGGGACTTCCCCTTTAGCAGAGTGAAACAGAAGTAGTAATTTCTTGGGCCAGAGCTGAGCACAGCAGAAATGGAAGCAGATAGCTCAGCTAGGACCTTCCCTTCAGGGAACAGAGCAGAGCTCAGCTGTAAGGGGTCTCTTACAAAAGGAGCAGAATTGCTATATCCTGCCTGGAGACCATCATCCCCCCCCACACACCCTAACTTAAGGTATTTCCTGACTTCTTGAGGAGTCAGAATACCTTTCCAGAGCTGTCCCTTTGCAGCTCCACTTACATCCTGATGTGTTCAGCGTCCTCTTTGCTATAATATATTGTCCCCAATCTCAGGGACAGTTTGAAAAGAGCTGTTTACTTTTATCAGAAAATAAAGCTTATGAGGGAAAGTTTGAAAAACGCCATTTGGTGGTTCAGTGTCCTGGTGTTTACTTAGCTACAGACATTCAATATCATAGCTTGTCTCCTAGTATGTGTCCACTTAATTTTGTAATACTTCAAGTGTATTATTGCCTTGTCTGTACTTACCCTGGAGAATCTTTGTGAAAATGGCTAGAGACTGAGTATATACAGTTGACAGTCATGACATACAATGGGTATTCAGTGCCAGATGGCTAATGTTATTACTTTGGGTTGGGTATTCCTTATTTAGACCACGGACCGCAGTATGTCAGAGTTTCAAGCATTTAGATTTCAGATTTTTGATGAGTGTTCAGAATGTAAATATTGTTCTAGTTTATTTTCTGTCTCTGTGATAAAATACTCTGGCCAGTAATCTTGGGAAGGAAAGACTTTGGTGTACACTTTGAAGTCACAGTCCAAACAGCTGTCAGGGCAGGACTGAAGCAGAGACTATAGAGAAAGGTTTTGTAGTAGTATTTTCTCATCAGGACCGCCATCTTGAAAACAATGACATGGAGACTTCTTAATAATTGTGAAAGCTTGACTTTAGCTTAGTCTTTTTCCCAACTAGCTTTTATAACTTAACCTATTTTTTAAATTTACGTTTTGCCACGTGGCTCAGTTACCTTACCTCTGTACCATATGTCTGACATAGCCCGAGTCTCACTGGTATCTCCATCTTTCTACTTCCCAGAGTTTTCTATCTCTGTCCAGAAATCATGTGTTCTCTCCTGTCTAGCTATTGGCTGTTCAGCTCTTTATTATGTCAATCACAGCAGTACATCTTTGTACAGTGTACAAATATCCTACAACAATGTTCCTTTTTTTTAAAAAAAGATTAATGGTAGTTTTATTTTATTTTTTATAATAGGAGATTTCACATCATTCACCCCTATCTTATTCATTACCCCCTTTCCATCCTTGTGACCTCTTCCCCTGAGGGGGAAAAGAGGCCAATTTGTTTTTATCTGTATAATCTCTGGGGTGTGGTCAAATTATCAGTGGCCTGCCTCTTAGTCCTTCTCCTCCCACTCCCACACCCTAAAGGAAGCCTTCTCTTGTGAATAGTGACACTTAAGCATCCTTTCACAGTTTTGAAGAGTTCCTGTTTAGCCCATTACTATTTCGGTCTGTGGAGGGGCATTGGGGTGGAAGTAGGGATTGTCATAGAAGATGTTTATTGGCTGACAGTAGTGTCTTTAGTTGATCATATAGCTGGGCTAGTTAGAAGGCTAGCTTCTAACACTTTAGTGAAGCTGTAGATCACAAAGGAGCAGGCAGAAATGTATGTCTGAGTCAACAGGATTCAGGGTAGGCCTGAGATTTTCATCATAGCCAGAGACATAGTGATGGCAGGTCACATTTGAGCAGAGAAATTTGAGTGGGGTGCTCTGAGACATGTGAGATGGGAGGTGACTGGAAAGGATAAAAAAATCAATGAGATTGTGAAAATTCCTTGCCACCTCTAGGTTACTTTTTAATAATATTTAGTAGGGTTGTCTTTTTATTATTATTATTACCAGATGGATAGTGGGGAAAAACAAAAATGTTCACTGTTCTTGTACCTAGAGAATAAATTCATATGTGCTCACTGGCTAACAGCCTTGTCGGGAGCCCCTGCCAGGCCACATGGTTTCCCTACCTGCTCCCTTCCCTGGCCCTTCTGTCCTGACAGCAGTGACATCTATTATGAGCCTCCTGAGCAGATGGCAGGGACCAGCTGCATACTGCTGGCAGGTGCTCACTTTGGATCTCTGGGATTTTCCTGTGTTGGTCCTCTGTCTCATCTTGCTGCTATGGCATTATTTCTAGGGTATTGTCTTACACTGCTGGCTTCAGATTATCCTCTTCCTGTGTGCTAGTGATGTGTCCACAGATTGACAGGAATACTTAGGGAAGATGGTCTGTCCTCAACTGTGGAGTCATAAGTATAAAGGCATTGAAAGTATTTTTCTTTTTTTAAATATTTATTTATTTATTATGTATACAATATTGTCTGCGTGTATGCCTTCAGGCCAGAAGAGGGCACCAGACCCCATTACAGATGGCTGTGAGCCACCATGTGGTTGCTGGGAATTGAACCCAGGACCTTTGGAAGAGCAGGCAATGCTCTTAACCTCTGAGCCATCTCTCCAGCCCTTGAAAGTATTTTTCATGAAATGTAATGCATTTTAAAAGACAGAATGAGTAATATTCATTAAGGACTAATTGATTTTCTTACTCTGGGCCTCCATACAGAATCACTAGAATGTCTTCAACTTGGCAGGACTATCCAAAGTTCATTTTATATTTAATATAGGTATGATGCTTGCTAAGATGAATTCTTCTGGTTTTTATAGGCATATATCACTATGCCTAGAAAATTTGTAGAATTCTTAAGCTACCTGTAGTTGTGTCTGAAGTCTGTAGCAGCTTGGATTGCTCATCGAGTGGTTTTACTTTCTGCTCTTCTAGCTTCCTCTTTTTACCATCGAGATATTTATGGCTGTTTCTTCTCAGTGCTCAGGAACTACAGTGCTGACTTCTGAATAACAGTTTTTGTTTCTTTCTTTGTAGAGACCTAAAGCCAGAGAATATCCTCCTTGATGATCATGGTAAGTAAAGAGATCCTTACATACTTAAGGGTAGGCCTGTCAGAGAGACACATGGACATAACCAGTTAATACAGACTGGAAACAATAACTAAAAGAAACTCTTTGGGATGTGTCCTTAAAAATCAGCAATAACAACACAAACCAAACAGTTGCATTGCCATCACCTGTATTTATGTACATACAGAGATGTCAGCTGTTAATGATGAATGTATTGAAGTAGGTGTAAATAAACTCAAAGTGAGCATTTGCCCTCCTGTTTTATTTTCTATTGATCCATATTTATTTTTCTTTATTCCTTAGCTCTCTAAACTTGGCATGCTTCCCTCAGTTCTGTTCCCTTGTCATATATCACATGTCCCAGCTCAGGACTGTGGGGTCCCTATGATGGTAGATGTGGACTGGCCCTAGCAGTCAGCTCCTTGTCAGCATCATGGGTGCTTCTGGTCTTGATGTCTCTGGATCTGAGAATGAACCCTATTGCTAGGATGCTAGCTGTGTTTACACTAACTAGGTTAGCAATATTGAGAAGGAGCTTCTGTCTATTGATTTATGGTGGCTAAAAGGAGAACATGACCAGAGCTAGAGCCAGAGTGATTGCTACAGAGAATAGTTCAATGTGACAGGGTCCCGAGGACAAATATGGGGCATTATTAGTACATAGCTTTATTCTACTTCTGCCACTGCTTTCTGCTTGTTACCTAACTTATGGACCGTGAAGAGGAAAGGTGCTGAAAAAATAACTTTACCAGGTTGTGTCTGCAGCATCTGACTCTAAGCTTGTGATGTGCTGCACTGCTGTCTAGAATTGGCATTTGAAGTTGCTTTAAAAGAGGCAGGGAGAGGACATGTTATATTGTAGGACATGGAGTAGTTTACTAGGTGTGCTAATAAGGTGAGTCTAAATTCAATGGCAGGTATCCTTAAAAGATTGTGTTTTGTAATTTGTTACTTTCAAAGGAATTTAACAAACATTAATACCCTCCTATACATAAAATATTTGCATAGTCGAGGGCTCTAAGTAAAGGGTCTTAATTTCATTACTTCCACTTGTAGGTATAAGGAAACAATAAATATGGTACCTCTGTTTTTATCTAGTGGTTATCTACTGTTAAAGGGCGCCTTCATGAAAGTATAAATCTAATTTCTTGCTGTTAGTGAAACTCAGTATGCCATATGAAATCTTACTACATGTATAAAGTTAAATGTAACTTTTAGATATTGCTATTTTTATACATATTTGGTGTGTATGTTTTGTAGCACTGGGGATGGAATCTAGAGCCTTAAATGTGCTAGGCAAGTGTTTTACTATTGAGCTATATTTTTAGCTCTCATCAATGCTTTTTAGATGAACTTTGCCTCCCAGTTATTATTGTGACTAAAATGCTACTACTTCTTCCCATGATCTGTACATTATGTTTGAACACACACAGGACACATCCGAATTTCAGATCTTGGTCTAGCTTTGGAAGTTCCAGAAGGGGAGATGGTTCGAGGAAGAGTTGGTACTGTTGGCTACATGTGTAAGTGAAAGATAACTTTGGTGGACCTTATCCTTCCTGCCAGGTGGCCCAGTGCTTTAGGATCCAGAGGAAAAAAATAGCTTTTCGTTTACTCAAATAGTATAAATCTCATTAAGTCATAAAACTAATGCCATATTGAAACACATTAATTTTAAAAAATATTTGTATCATATTTATTATTGTGTATATATATGTGTGTACACATGTGCATGACAGAGAACACATATGGAAGTCAGAGGACAACTCAAGTAAGTCAGGCAAGTCAGGTTTTAAGGCAAGCACTTTACCTGTTGAGCCATCTTGCCATCCCCTGAAATAGCATTTAATAAAGCTAATTATCACTGTGATTCTTTATATACAAACACAACAGTTCACATTCTTCAGGACTGAAAACAATGATTAGATATTAAACTTAGTTTTAAAAGAACAAGTCTTGGGCTGGAGAGATGGCTCAGTGGTTTGAGAGCATTGCTTGCTCTTCCAAATTTCCTGAGTTCAATTCCCGGCAACCACATGGTGGTTCACAACCATCTGTAATGAGGTCTGGTGCCCTCTCCTGGCCTGCAGACATACACACAGACAGAATATTTTATCCATAATGAATAAATAAATAAATTAATTAATTAAAAAGAAAGAACAAGTCTTCTGGGGGGACAGACATGGCAATATATAGGATTAAAGGTATGTACCACCATGAATTCTTTTATTGTTCAGGGTTGTTTTAGCTATCCTGGGGTTTTGTATTTCCATATGGAATTGAGAATTGTGCTTTCAAGGTCTGTGAAGAATTGTATTGGAATTTTGATGGGAATTGTACTGAACCTGTAGATTGCTTTTGATAGGATGACCGTTTTTACTATGATAATCCTATCGATGCATGAACATGGGCGATCTTTCCATCTTCTGTTATCTCTTTCAATTTTTTTCTTCAAAGACTTGAAGTTTTTATTGTTTTATTGTCTTTCATTTGCTTGGTTAGAGTTATCCAAGATATTTTATATTATTTGAAGCTATTGTGAAAGGTGTCGTTTCCCTGATTTCTTTCTCAGTCTGTCATTTTTATATAGGAGGGTTACTTGTTTGTGTGAGTGTGTTGGAACCCCTTCAACTAGAATTACAGACAGTTGTGAGCTGCAATGTGGATGCTGGGAATTGAACCCGGATCTTCTGGGAAAGCTGTGAGTGCTCTTAACTGCTGAGCCATCTCTCCAGCCCCTGTCTGAGAAACTTTTATTTTATTTTATTTTTATATATATATATATATATATATATTTATTTATTTATTTATTTATTATGTATACAAT